TCTGCAAGAAGGACATCCAGATGGCCAACAGGCACAGGAAAAAGTGCTCCACATCACTTGGCATCAAGGAAATACAAATCAAAACCACAGTGAGATGCCACCTCACACCAATCAGAATGGCTAATATTAACAAGTCAGGAAATGATAATGCTGGTGAGGATGCAGAGAAAGGGGAACCCTTCTACACTGTTGGTGGGAATGCAAGCTGGTGCAACCACTCTGGAAAACAGGATGGAGGTTCCTCAAAAAGTTGAAAATAGAGCTACCCTACAACCCAGCAATTGCACTACTGGGTATTTACCCTAAAGATACAAACGTAGTGATCTGAAGGGGCACTTGGACCTGAATGTTTATAGCAGCAATGTCCACAATAGCCAAACTATGGAAAGAACCTAGATGTCCATCAACAGATGAATGGATAAGGAAGAAGTGGTATATATACACAATGGAATACTATGCAGTCATCAAAAGAAATGAAATCTTGCCATTTGCAATGACATGGATGGAAATAGAGGGTATTATGTTTAGCAAAATAAGTCAATCAATGAAAGACAATCATAATATGATCTACCTGATATGAGGAAGTGGAGATGCAATGTGCGGGGTTTGGGGGTAGGAAAAGAATAAATGAAACAAGATGGGATTGGGAGGGAGACAAACTATAAGAGACTCTTAAAATCACAAAACAAACTGAGGGTTGCCGAGGGGAGGGGGGTGGATAGAGGGTGCTGGGTTATGGACATATGTGTAAGTGCTGTGAAGTGTGTAAACCTGGTGATTCACAGACCCTTACCCCTGGGGCTAATAATACATTATATGTTTATAAAAAATAAAAAAATAATAATAATAATAAAAAAATAATGAAAAAAATTTTAAAAATCTCCTGGTTCTCTCCTGAAGATGAGAACATTTTTTGATACATTTATGGTATTTCTTAGTCTACAAGTCTTTAAAAATTGTACCACATTCATCTTTTAGCCTGGCTTACAGCTGTTTTAGGGGATGCTAGCATAGTTTCAGGGATTTAGGAGGAAGGTGGTGACTATATCAAGAGGACATTTTAATTAGGTTTTTAATATTTGGTACCTGGATGGGAAAGTATTAAAATGGAAATTCTCTTATTTGTGACAATATACACATTCTAGAGTAAGAAAATGAGTTAATGTGGGCTTTTGCTGATATAGCGATCATATGAGTTATATTTGCACATATATTTGCCACTTCTGTTGGTCTTGATTTCTTTCAGATCTGGATTCCCAGTTGGTAGGATTTACCTGCTCTAAAGGATTTCCTTAACACTCCTTGTAGTGATTGATGACTGGTACTGATGAATTCCTTGAATTTTGTATGTCTGAAATTCTTTACTTCAGCTTTGTTTTTAAAGATATTTTTGGTGAGTATTGAATTTGAGGTAAACTTTTTTTTTTTTCAGATTTTAAAGATGTTGCTCCATTTTTTTTCTTCTCCACTGGTTTGCAATGTTTCTGATAGAAAGTTTGCCATGATTTTTATCTTTATTCTGGTGTATATAGAGTGTCTTTTCCCTTGGAGGGTTTTCAGCATTTTCATTTATCACTGTTTTTGATCCAGTGTATTATGATGTATCTCTTAGTGTGTGTACATCATGATTTTGTGCCTTCTTTGAGTCTTGGCTTTGTGGATTTACAGTTTTCATTAAATTTGGAAATAATTTGGCCATTGTTTCCATTTTCTGTCCTTTCTCATATCCTATTTTTTGAAGATTCCAATTGTTCATCCATAAGGCTGTTTGAAGTGTTTTCTTAGCTCATGGATGCTCTGTACATTTGTTTTTAAGTCCTTTTATTTATTTATTTTTTCTTTGCTTTCATTTTGATGGGTTCAATTGTAGTATCTTCAAGTTTACTAATCTTTGCTGCTACAGTGGATAATCTGTTCATCTGCTATTCTCATCTAAGTTATCATATTTTTAATAACTAGAATTTTAACTTTGGCTCTTTTTCTGTGTGTTTTCCATGTCTCTACTTACCACATTCAATCCTTTCTCTACTTTTTAAAAGATATTTAATGCAATGATAATAAAAATTTTAATGTATTCATTTACTAATTATATTATCATTTTCATTTTGTATGCATGGGAGCTGGGAGCTGGGTGGATTGTTTTTTCCCCTATACATTGGATATATATTCCTGCTTCTTTACATGCTTGTTAATTTTTGATTGGCTGTTAGACATTACAACTTTTATCTTGGTTGCTGGATATTTTGCATTTCTATTATTCTTCTTGAACTTTGTTGAATGGGACTAGAACAGTGTTCAGATTATGTTTAATGTTTCCTCCCTATTGAAGCAATGCACTTTTGAATATTTTACCTGGTGCTCTGTGAATTATGGGGTTCTCTATTCTGATTGGTTGGAAACCCAAACTTTTCCAGGTCCTGTGTGAGTGCCAGGGATTGCTTCCTCTAATTCTTCCTGATATATGAGATATACACAATATCCAAAGATCTCAACTCTCCACAAGTTGACCTACACATTAAAGAGTTCCCCAGTAAAATCGTTAATAATATATATTTTAAGAAGAAAAATTGTTTCCTCCTGAAAAATAAATATGCAAAACACGGTCAGGTAATTTGGACAAAAAGTGAGGGGAAGGTCTATCAGATAAAATAAAGCAGTTGGCTACAAATGATTACAAACGTGTGGTATTAACAATGGGATAGACATATCACTGTAGCTGAACACAAATTTATGAAATAGAACATAATAGGTATAAGATTTTGGAATAAGATTAATGTGATATTTAAATTATTAGGAAGTAATGATTAGAAAAAGTTTCTAAGACAGTGTGTATGTGGCTATCTGGAAAAATATTCTTTACACCATGGGAAATAAAAATAGTTAAAAATTTAAATAGAAAATACTTATCAGTGTAATAAAGAAAACTATGGCAAAAGGGTATGTCAGCTTTGTGGTGGAGAAGGGTTTTCTAATAACGATGCAAGGGCAGCTGGAAGTGAGAAGCTTCCCTAACAAGATTAAACAGGGGGGAAAGTTAAGGATTGAGGAGAAGCAAAAAGGAAAACAAGGAGAATAAAAGTGGTAATTTTCTTAAAATTAAAGGGAAGAGAAGGAGCTGTGCATTATATGCTGGGAACCTCTTCTAGTTTTAGGAGTATTTGTGGAAAGACATTAATGATTGAGAAAGTCTGACCTCATGTCAGAAGACTCAGCTTCCCATGGTCCAATGTGTTTGAGAATTTAATTGTTCATTATACTTTTCATGTTCCAAGTTTATCAAAACACAGCAAGAATAGAAATTTTAGCATTTGTTAATTCTTCAGTCTTCTTTCAGTATTTGGGATCTACAGGTCAATTCTGTGGTGGCATGCTCTATGGGGAAGCAAGGCAGAGAGATCATTTTGGAGGTCTTTGTGGGTATCAGAGGTGGTACCTTGACCATTTACCATTCCCAGATGGTTTCCCAAAAAGCTGATTTTCTTTCCTTTCAAAGACTGTGTTTCTAACTTAACCCAGTATCCTGCATCTTAATATTTCTTTCTTTTCTTCGTCCTTTCTGCCCTATGCTGAAAACTTCCCTCAATGTCTCATTGCAGGAATTCAACAAGATCCTTTTCAGTGGTCATCATTCTGTACAAATATCCAAACCAAACAAAAAGAAAAAATATTTTTAAAAGATAAATTTCATTCCTCAAGAGATTTAAACATTTCAGAATTAAATATTATAATTTAAATATAGTACTATGCTAGTCCTAGTAGATAATTTGGTGATTAATTTGAAACAAGAATAAAAAATAGGATTCCTTTCTTTATCAATAAGTTGTTAGAGTAAAAAAAAAAAAAATGGAAAAAGAACTTATGCAATTTCATTTGCTTTGTGATCCAATTTGTGCCTGTTCCTGAAGTGATTTGCTGTCGGTTGCAACTGTGGCTATCATGTGTGTGTTCACATTTTGGGAAAGAGGCTAGTATTCTAATTATTGGTATTAAGAGAATGATGATCCAAATCCTACCCAAAGTATTTTAAATCCACGAGAAAATCAAAATGAAAAAAAAAAAGAACAAAACTAAATAAGGAGGTATTTTCTCCAGGTCACACTTAGAATGTTCATTAGTACTTGAAAGTAAATATTCATACATCAGCAGTGAATCTGAATGCCATGACTAATCTGTAATTGTACCTTTAAGCAGACTGGAAACAGAAGTAACCTATGATGTCATGTCCCTAAAGAGCAGAGACAACCAGAAATGACACTGATGTAAGCCTTTGTCTCTTCAATCTTTCAAATGTTGAGGTCTAAACCGATAAGTTATTTTGGCTGAATACCAAGGCTGAAGTTAAGCTTCAGAGCATCCCTATTTAAAGTCTTTTGCAAATTTGCGGAACAATAATCTACGCATTATCAAGGTACACTTAGGTGCCATGTGTATAAAGAGTGGACACTTCAATGGATCACACAAGACTTGAATGTGTAGATGGCTCTGTGCCCATGCTCTGAGTGACAGAAAGCAGAAGAGTGATCTCAGGAATATGTTCCATGCAAAGGCAGGGAGTTGGCATTAGCTCATGGATAGGGAGACAGACAGGAGGCCTTAGTCGCAGTTCATGACTGGGCAAGGCACTGGAGACAGAGACACCATTCAAGGTGGCTGATGTAATGTCTTCAGAGAATCTTTCATTAAGTTGGGGGAATTAGGGTGTGCTTGTAGGAACCCTTTCAGTAGTTCAAGAGTAGGATTTTGCTCTGAAGCTTCTTGCCAAGAACCTTGGCTGCTGGAAGAAATTGTCACTAGGGAGTTGATAAACAAAAGCACCTGTTAGTGTGGAAGTGGTTTTGGCATCACATATTCTGATAATTAAAGGATTGCATCAGCCTTGGAGACCAAGAGACCATGTTGGAAGGAGTTATTGACCACAGTTTGCTGTGTACCTCAGGGAATCCTCTTTTTCCTTCCCTGCATCATGAGCCAAAAGGTCATGGAGTTCCAAGGCATCTGACCCAAGGCTGACCCAAAAAACACGTCATTGTCCTAGCTTCAGGATAGATCACGACCCCAAGAAATTATACCTCAGAAACAAACCTGGCATATGTGTGTAAAAGTCTATACATCAGCTAGTAAATCATTTTATTAAAGACTTTATTTTTTATAGCACTGTTATGTTCACAGAGAAATTGAGAGAAAGGCATAGAAATTCCCCTGTCTGCCCCCACACATGCACAGACTCCTCATTATCAACATCCACTACTAGACTCATATTTGTTGCAATTGAACTTGCACTGACATGTCATAATCACCCATGGTCCATAGTTGTACATTCTATGCTGTTGTACATTCTATGGTTTGGACAAATGTATAATAATGACATGCGTCCATCATTCTATTGTCATACGGCTTATTTTTACTGCCCTAAAGATCCTCCATGCTTCGATTCATCTCCCTCCATTACCTCTTCAAATTGGGTTTTTAAATTATGAAATCGAATGAAGGTAATTTTTTTCTATCATTTTGACGTCTTCAGTTTTAAGAAGTTCTTTATAGGCTATAGTACTGGCAGGCAGTCTATTAGAAGGTACCAGGTCCACTTAACACTCAAGGTTCTGGAAGTTCATCTACTTATAGAGCTCTGTATCCTATCAATAAGACAGTAAAGATCATATGTTTCATTATCATTTTCCAAACAGATCTTATTCTCCTTGACGAGGCTTTTGAGCCCAGGTATATATTCTAGGGAACAAAGAACTTTATGCAATCATACAATTCTCTATTCATTACCATGCTTCTCCTAACCTCTGCAAGTCATCTTCAATTAATATAGGTATGTAGGAGTAGATGGAAATATTCATATACATATGCTTCTTGTTAATAGAAGTACAATCATATACCTCAAATCTAACTTTCCAGATCATATATTCTAATAATATTAATAACATGTAATAAGTAGTGGGAAGTTTTTCTGCTTCACAGAAACTCTCTTCCATTCACTCTCTTCCATTCTATTTTAGTGATCAAAAATTTTATTCTAGGGACGCCTGGGTGGCTCAGTTGGTTAAGCAGCTGCCTTCGGCTCAGGTCATGATCCCGGCGTCCTGGGATCGAGTCCCGCATCGGGCTCCTTGCTCATCAGGGAGCCTGCTTCTCCCTCTGCCTCTGCCTGCCATTCTGTCTGCCTGTGCTTGCTCTCTCTCCCTCTCTCTCTCTGACAAAATAATTAAATAAAATCTTTAAAAAAAAAAAAAAAATTTTATTCTAAATATGACACAGATAAAGTGGCTAAGAACTGGCAACTTTAAATTTGAGTATAATTGACACACAATGTTAATTTCAGGTGTACAACTTAGTGATTTGACATTTTTATACATTATGCTGTGTTCACCAAAAGTATAGCTACTATCTGTTCCATTATATTGTTAACAAGTGATATTTTTTAATTGACAGTGAAAAATATAAACCTAGAAGGTCTGTGGATTACAAATTTATGTTTTTAATTAAAATAATAGTGAAATATAAAATATCTTCATTCATCAAGTAGAATTATTAGATCTGTTCATAAGTATTCTAGTCTCTTCTTTTTTGGAACATAATTCATTGCATTTCCTGGGCCCCTTGTGGAAATTTTTATATTATCTTGTAAAGCTGAATATTGCCATATCCTGCTACCCACCAATTACATTTGTAGGAGACATGCTTATAAATGTTAATTGTTATTGTTCATACTAGACAAGTATTTATTGGCAGGATAACGGGTAAACACATTTTAGAATAATCATACACTAGAATACGTTATGACAGTAAAAATGAATCTAAAACTATATTTAAAAACTGATGTAAAATTTGGTAACATATATAATGTTGAATGAAAAAATTAAAGCCATTCCTAGGAATTCACATACAGTTGGCTACATTCTTTAAAATTCAAAGCTAGGAAAAATCAACCATATCTATCTATCTGTCAATCTATCTATGATAAAGATATTCTATTTTCAGGAAGCAGGGTAGTTATACATTCATAAGCAGTGGACAAGATAGGGAAGAGCTAAAATAGATTTAATTATTGGTAATATTTTAGTTCTTGGGATAGAGTTAAGTTTACAAGTATTGATTATGTTATTTAAATGAATGCAAAAATAGTAATATAAAATGAATAATATACAAATGGTAAAATAGTTGGAAATGTGTGGATTCTACAGTTAAAGTTTTATGATAAGAAAGAGTTTCTTCTACTTTGCTTGCTCTGCTTCCTTTTGTGTTGGCTCTCTTTTAGATAAGGCTCTCTCTACTTATGCCAAGATCACAGGCAAGAGTTCTGGGTCTTTACTCCAGAAACTCTATTAGAAAAAAAATAATAACTTTTTTTCAAGAGTCTAAACAAACATTTTGAGTTTGCATCTCATTTTCTAATAGATCTCTGACCTGATCATTACAATTGGGGGGGGGGAATGCTCTCTGATTGGCCACACAGGAGTCATAGTCCCACACTTAGGGCATAACACTACTCATAACTCATACTGAAAATGGAGAATTTGTGTGTCCTCAGAGGAAAATCAAGGTTCATTTGAAGAAGGAAGACAAACTCATCTCAGGCAAAATCAATCAAGGCTCACTAAGACAGTTTTTATAGCTCATCTTTAGCATCTTCATGAGGTAGGCACGGTGTATCTGCTGAAGCATTAGAGATGTTTCATCAAAACAACAAATGTCCACAAAAGGTTCTCCTTATTGATGATACATCCTATAGTCCCTCATGAAAAATATCACACTGTATTATGAGGACAACCTGATATCTTCAAGGTCTTATTTGATGTTTAGTGGGATTCAGTGTTTCAGTGCTATTGACCCTAGATGCAATTGAGGCCCATCACTGAAGGGACTCCTAGAGGACTATTAGTTGTCTCTCCAGACCAGACCTCACTTCAATCTGCTCTTTCTAAATTAGTAGTTTTAGATTAGTTCAGAAATAATCTCTTCAACTTACTACATCTACCATCATGTGGGTAATTATTCAGAAGTAATTATAGGGGTGTCTGCGTGGCTCAGTGGGTTAAAGCCTCTGCCTTCGGCTCAGGTCATGATCCCGGGGTCCTGGGATCCAGCCCTGCATCGCACTCTCTGCTCAGCGAGGAGCCTGCTTCCCCCTTTCTCTCTCTACCTGCCTCTCCGCCTACTTGTGTTCTCTGTCTGTCAAATAAATAAAATCTTAAAAAAAAAGAAAATATATAAGATATAAAGTGATAAAATAGTATATAAAAGGCATTTAATAAATATTTGGTGAGGTAAAATTATTTCAGTAAGAGGAATTCCTTAACAAGTGTATTTTTACTAATATTAGTTAATGAAACAAATGGAAATGAGTTTGAAATAATACGAGGTATCTATTCAGTATATGTACTAATCCTCAGATCAATTGCTACAAATCTGTGGTTCTTTGGTGGGGCTTGGCTGTAGCACACAGAACAGAACCTCTGGTTTTAGGACACTCTACTGTTTTCCTTGGACTGTACTTGTGAATAAATTACAAAAACTAGAGAAGCTTGTCTCCTAAAGCACAGAAAATGAACTTAGGGCACTGGATGGGATCAGAGTAGTTTTTTGGAGTAGTTTTTGGGATCAGAGACAGTTTTTCTTGCCAACACACTGTTTTTTCTTATTCTTGTTCTCTAGCACCATACATTTGTATTTTCCTTTTTTCCCCTGTATCTTTGGTTAGTCTGAGGCACCTAAGACCACCAAACCCTTGTTTGTATTTGATCTTGAGTCTGAGGGGGGGTTAACTTATTGTACTGTAGGCTGAATGGATGAACCAAAAGTTAAATGTATTACAACATCTAGGATGTTTTTGAGTAACAAAGAAGGGACAACTTTAGGGAATAGTATTCTCTAGGGTGCTAATATTTTACATCATTATATTTAAAATATTCCCTCAGGGATACAGAGAGGACTTTTCTTTTTTTAGTGTTCTATGGGAAGGCTGCTTTCAAAAAGGGATGGAAATATGTATCATTAATTTACAGTGTTCTAGCAGGTAAGTGACAGATTGCTTACACCTTTGCACTCAGAGAGGCATCATTATAGAATAATTCAACATATTTAAACAATACATTTTCATAGGTCTTGTGACTGTTGCTTCCCCTTCCTCTGAGAAGGGAACAGGAAAAAAAAATTTTGCCAAAGTTTACTGTTAATATAGTAAAGAGATAAAATGAAATGTAAGTTTCAGAACAAAATGATTTTTGAACTCGGCAAATATTTTATGAGTACCAAATATGTGAAAGTCTTTGTGTGGCTTTCCATTGTTGTGTGGGGATGGAAGGATAGATTTCATACTGCAAGGGTTCTTTTTTCACTTGTTTTTTTTTTAAGATTTTATTTATTTATTTGACAGACAGAGATCACAAGTTGGCAGAAACGCAGGCAGAGAGAGAGAGAGAGAGGAGGAAGCAGGCTCCCTGCAGAGCAGAGAGCCTCATGTGGGGCTCGATCCCAGGACCCTGGGATCATGACCTGAGCTGAAGGCAGAGGCTTAACCCACTGAGCCACCCAGGTGCCCCTTTTGTTTTTCTTAGTAGTTTCTTGAGGTAGCAGAATGCAGAAAGGTTCACAAATACTTCTCATGTAAGGTAGCTGAGGTGAATACATCCTCAATATGGATATTAAAGGTTAGAAGAGCTTATGCCTGGTGAGAAATTAGAGAAAAGGTCAACTGAGGCAGTGACCTTGACAGCGTTAGGAGAATGCCAGCTTTCCCATCTCCAAGTGACATTCGTAAACAGAAAGTTGTGGTGTGCTTAGGTGGCTCAGCCATTTGAGCAGCTGACTCTTGATTTCAGCTCTGGTCATAATCTCAGGGTCCTGGATTGAGCACCACATCCAGCTCTATGCTCAGTGGGGAGTCTGAGTTTCTCTCTTTCTTTCACTCTGCCCCTCCTCCTCCTGCTTTCTCTTTCTTTCTCACTCTAAAATTAAAACAAATAAACAAACAAAAAGCCTCTAAAAACATAGAAAGTTGTACATAACAGTATGGAATTATTACTCTTTATATGTTTCAAAATAATATTTTAAGAACTTAATTTGCAGTTGATACACACATTTGAGATTTAATCTCAGAGCTGAATAACAACTTCTCATGGGAAGTTTGGAGGAATCATGATGATGTGGAGGCAACAGGATATCATGAAAATGAAAGGTAATGTGCCAGGTAGGTGGGAGGGTTTCATTTTTTTTTTTATTATATTCAATCAGCCAACATATAGTACGTCATTAGCTTTTGATGTAGTGTTCAGTGATTCATTAGTTGGGTATAACACCCAGTGCTCATAACTACCTATGCCTTCCTTAATACCCATCCTGCAGTTACCCCATCCTCCCACACCTCTCCTTTCTGTAACCCTCAGTTTGTCCCCTAAGGGATAAAGAATCTGGGGACAGCCTGTTAACCTTCCACAGAGAATGTGGATTTTGCATAGAAATGAGTATAGTGGTTCTTCCAGAGGTGGAAGTCTAGTGTAACCAAATTAGGGAGGGTTAGGTAGTTGAAGAAAGCCCTTAAGGAAACCAGTGGTACTCACCATGGCTGCTGCAGAAAAACAGATTTATGGGATAGAATGATCCACCTGACAGTCTATATTCCACCCTCATCTATTCTCCAATTTTTTTCCTGTGTGCTTTTCTTTCAGCTCTTCTCTGTTACTTCTAAGCCCAACACATAGTTTGCTACTGTGCTGACAGATTTAGCCATTCCAAAGTTGGCTACACTTGTTTGAAAAGTTGAGGTAAGTGCAATACTTATTAAAAGATGTGTTATTATAATAGGGTTATTTGACCCTAGGTCATTGCAACTCATTTGTATGTCATATTTCTTGGAGAACTGGATGAAAGTGTTAACATGTCCTTGGAAAAAATGGACATGTGGTCATCCACAGAGACTTGTACAAAAACATGCCTCGGTTGCAAGAAGATGTGAGAAATGTCAAGGCACTCCTTGAATTCTTTATGGGTTAAAGATTCATGTAGAAAATGCTAATATGTAAGAAGATCATTTTTTGGATATCAATGTCCCAGAATCTTACATGGTTATGTGATGCTCTTCAGAATACAACATGTTCTGCTTCATGTTTATTACAATGTTTAAAATTGTTCTCAGCCTACTTCCTGGATTTATAAGTTAGGAGAATGTTTGTCTGTCTGCCACACATAATAGATAGAGAGCCACAAGGCATTAATGATGTGAATGTGTTTTGTAATCAGAATACTACTAAAACCATCAGATAAATATATTTTAAGAGGTAATTGAGAAAATTAAAAAAAACATTAATACTTACATGGTACAAGGCATTGGGGCTTGAACTATGGAAAATAAAATCCTGAGAATAAGTACTTTTCAAAGATTCTTATTCCAAGAAAGAAGCTAAAGAAAGCACTCACATGAGTGAATTTAAGCATGATATGTAATGTTATAAGAAGAACTATAAAGGATGCCATTGGAGAACAGGAGTGAGAATTTTTTTTTTTTAATTGTGTTATGTTAGCATAAAATACACCATTAGTTTTTGGTGCAGTGTTCCAAGATTCATTGATTATGCTCCACAGCCAGTGCTCCATGCAATATGTGCCCTTCTTAATACCCACTACCAGTCTCACCCCCCCATCCCTTTCCCCTCTAAAACCCTCAGTTTGTTTCTCATAGTCCACAGTCTCTCATGGTTTGTTTTCCCCTCCAATTTCCCCCATTCACTTCTCTTCATCTCCCAATGAACTCTGTGTTATTCCTTATGCTCCATAAGTAAGTTAAACCATATGATAATTGACTTTCTCTGCTTGACTTATTTGACTCGGCACAATCTCCTCCAGTTCCATCCATGTTCATGCAGAAGTTGGGTATTCATCCTTTCTGATGGCTGATCAAAGTGTAATTACTGAAGACCTCCAGAAAAGAGTTCTTGGAATTTGGGTCCTGAAGTTTTGAGATAACTGAAGTAGGTAGAAATGACATTCCAGGATGGAAAGATACTATTGATAAAATGTTGATTAAATATCTGGTAAGTCTTCTAAATTATACTTTAGTTTGTATTTTTACTTGCACGTAGTATCCCTTTCAACACCATTTTGACAAGAAAGATTTAGAGAAAAGATTTTATTCCTGGAAGTGAAGTCTGCAGTAATCTTTTTTTCCAAATTTGAATTTGAAAGGAGTGAAATTTCAAAGATGAATGATCACTGACTTTACCAGGATAGAAAACAAATTGAATGAAGCCAGTTCTGATTATTTACTATTCTTGTCTAAAACAATATCTAACTCACTCTTCTGAATCTTTGTTCTGTTATAAGGATGTGGAATTTTCACTACCTGACTAATAGAACTCTGGTGGAGATTACAGTCTTGATTTGGTCCTACGTGAACTATCTGGTGACATCTCCCTAAATAACCTCAGATCCAAAGTGCTTAAGCTAAAATTTGGGTTACTAAAAACATGAACTATTGCATAACAATACCCCCTTTCATTTAAATGCAACCTCAGGGATTTTGTGTCCATTAAGGAGTGTTTTCTAGAAATGGGAAGGAGAAAAAAATGCAGATATTTGAGATATTATCAACTATCAAAGAACATTCATGCTCTTATCTGCATTAGTGTATGTCAAATACTAAATATCATAAGGGTGTTTCAAGGTAAAAGTGTATTATTTAGAAGTTAGAAGTACTTCCTGTTCCTCTTTTCAAGCTCTAATAGCTGGGAGCAAATATTCAGTGACAGAGGGCATACTACATATTTATAAAAATATACATTTTCTGTAAGCGTATACAAAATATATGATGATAAATATATGCAAAAATAAGACATTCTTCTTTTTGGGGGTGTGATTTTATACATATAATGGAGTGTGATTTTATACTTGTATCATGAGCCTGCAAAGGCAGTCAAAATATCTAAAATGCCAAGTGACACACCATTGAAACCTGGGTCCAAAGATATATTACATATGCAAAAATAATGACATTAATAATAAAATGGAGTCATATCTTTTAACTTTATATTCATTGAATTGGTAAAATTAATCAGAATCATTTAAATGCTACAAGATTGTATCTGAAGTATACTCTAGGAAGATACAACTTTCACAAGTTTGTTGAGACTCATAATGGCATTATGAAGTGGCCATTATAAATGGAGGAACAAACTATTGAGGTGACATGTAGGAACTCACCCCTAAAATATTAATGATGAAGAATATTTATTTTGCTTAAATTATTCCATAAAATCACACATCACACCATGAATTAATTCTGTTATTTCTTGCAGATCAACAAATTCATACTCAAGCATCTCCTAATTGAAGAAATCATGCAGCTGAATAATAATGTTACTGAGTTCATTCTGCTTGGGTTGACCCAGGATCCTGTTAGGAAGAAAATTGTGTTTGTCATTTTTTTGCTTTTCTATCTGGGGACGTTGCTGGGTAACTTTCTGATTATTACTACTATCAAGACCAGCCAGACACTCGGGAGTCCAATGTACTTCTTCCTTTTCCATCTATCTTTATCTGACACCTGCTTCTGTACTACCATAGCTCCTAGAATGATTGTGGATGCCCTTTTGAGGAAGACCACTATCTCTTTCAATGAATGCATAATACAAGTCTTTTCATTCCATTTCTTTGGCTGCCTAGAGATTTTCATCCTTATCCTCATGGCTGCTGACCGCTATGTGGCCATCTGTAAGCCCCTACATTACACAACCATCATGAGTCGAAGGGTCTGTGCTGTGCTGATGGCTACAGCCTGGGTGGGGTCCTGTGTGCATTCTTTAGCTCAGATTGGTCTTGCCTTGAGTTTACCTTTCTGTGGTCCCAATGTGATTGATCACTATTTTTGTGACTTGCAGCCCTTGTTGAAACTTGCCTGTGCAGACACCTATGTGGTCAACTTACTCTTGGTGTCCAATAGTGGGGCCATTTGTACAGTGAGTTTTGTCATGTTGATGTGCTCCTATGTTATCATCTTGTATTCTCTGAGAAACCACAGTGCTGAAGGGAGGAGAAAAGCCTTCTCCACTTGCATCTCCCACATCATTGTGGTCCTCTTTTTCTTTGGTCCTTGCATATTTATATACACACGCCCAGCAACCACCTTCCCCATGGATAAGATGATAGCTGTGTTTTATACACTTGGAACACCTTTGATCAATCCTCTGATTTACACATTGAGGAATGCAGAGGTGAAAGATGCCATGAGGAAGTTATGGAGGAAAAAGTTGATTTCAGATGACAAAAGATGAATTGGTGCTTCAATTTTTTTCTTCATAGTTCAGATTCACCTAGAAGCCCATTGAGAATCTTATCTTTTTATTGTGGTGTAACATCATTAGAGGACAAGAGAATTCATTCCTTCGAGAATGAACATATACACTGATTAGTGTTGAGTCATTTTCATGTACAGAAGGGACAGGACCAGGTACAAACAGCCATGTCAAGACACATGCCTTAGATGTTCACTGTTGTGTCTCTGCCTCTCTTGGCTGCGTGGCATCACTGTGGTTTTGATCTAGTGTTTTCTCTTCCCTTTTTGATATTGACTTTTCATGTTCTCTGTTTACAAGTTATGTTTTATATGTTTATATCCCCAGCCTGGCAGCCTTTTCCTCCTTCAAATGACTTCCTTTTTATTACACACTTCAGACGCATCATGTCTGATTATGGATCTTCAACTTGGTTGTTCTTGGTTGACTGAGCAGAAAGCACCAGTTTCAAATGATTGTAAAATCCTCATGTTTTAAGTGACAGTCTATTAGCTAGGTAATTCCCTTTTATTTCTTGGTTCATACTTCAAATTCTTCTCATATTTATTTAGATTCTTCTAGAACAGTGTCAGAAAATAGTGTAAGTATTTACCTTTCTGAAGGAATATTTTTACCTTGGATAGGTGGATAGTTGGAGTGGTACTCTTTGCATTCTTCTTGTAAAAACTTTTTGCTCTACAATGAGCACTTCTAATTTGGGGGAAACATTAATTTTTTCTTGGGTCATACAAATTATAATAATTTATTTGCACTTTTGGGTTATTATGACTGTAGCATACATGTCCCAAATTAAGTAGATATATTCATATGGGCTATAAGTAAGGCATAGAAGCAACCAATGGTTGAGAAAGGGAATTTGAATTTAATAACTGATAAAGAATGTTAAAACTCAAAAGAGTCTTTTTTTTTTGGCCTTGAAACAAAAATAGTTACATCACATGTATGAATTATCTTAGTGAGTTTTAATAGAATCTAGAAAAGAGGGTAACTTGAGAGAGACCAAGATATTTGTATAAAGTCTGCATTTTGGCAGTGGATAGGGATATCACCTTTTGTCACCATCCATCAACATTGCAGTATTGAGTTACATGATCACTAAGAATCTTTCAGTTTTAACCTATTTTCTAATTTGTATTTTTATCCATATAGAATATTTAACATGAGTATTTTTGTTTTCTTGAACATATTTTTTATTTATAAATTACTAAATTATATCAAAATTGCTAAGTTTATATTAACTTTATTGTACTGGGAACATTAGAACGTTTTAGCTTGAGGTGCACCTGGCTAGCTCAGTTAGTAAAGCATGTGACTCTTTATCTCAGTGTCATGAGTTTGAGACTCACGTTGTGTGTGGAAGCTTCTTAAAATAAAAATTAAAAAAAAAAAAAAAGAACTTCTTAGCTTGGAAAGAAAAAAAATCATCTATTTCTCTGTGTGGGAATGGAATGCCATGATTCCACAATAAACACTAGGGACATATACACATCACTTTTTTTTGGATTCAGAATTTATCCATCTCAAGCACTTTATCATTGATCATAGTTACTGATTTTCCTCTTGCAAGGGTCACACTTCAGTAGATCTCAGTTGGCAGAGTTTTAGTTGAAGTCCTCTTCTATTTCAAGACAAGGCATGTATGAAAAGGGGAGTATGTTGGATCTCATTTAGGTACCTCCCCAGAGACACTATATTCAAAATGTCTCCTGGGTATGCTTCTGAAATGGAATTCCTGTGGTTGCCGTAACCATGTCTGTTGCCAATAGAGATTGATCTAATTTCAGATAGGGAAAGTGTAGGACTCTGATATCTAAAGTAGACATATTTGTGTGGGTAAGAGAGAGAACCATGAACTCGCAGATGAACTTGCAACCTTGTGGTTGTCATAAGTAAGTCCCTCTCCCTTGAAACAGGGCAACAACAGTCTTCCCTTGCCTAGGTACCTTGTGATTATATCATTTGAATAAGTTGTCAGACAATGATATTTGGTCTCTTCCTGAGATTCCTCCCACACCCTTCACTGCTTCTAAATATCTAACCAGGTGCAAGTCACAAGGAAGGCCAAGCAGGAAAGTCCAGCCTTGCTCTAGGAGAACATGTCATACATGAAAGAACTGTAGGATTACAGTTAGCCACAACGTGCAAGTTTGACCTGTGGGAATCCTTAATGGTAGGGGTGTTTTCAGTGTGGTAAACAAAAGTTTAGAGTTGAGGTCTACCTTGATCAACTTTTTCTGTAGACCCACATTTTTCTGCAGATGCCTCATTGAATATACTGTTTGCTTTAGTAACAGAACTATTTGTTAGATCTGTGGAAAAGTAGTATAAGAGAGTGCTGCCAAAAGTATGAAACAATTGCTAGTCAATTTTTTTTTTAATCTTAGGTATTGTCATAATCTCATAGTCTGTATTATTCTTGTATTTGCTAGTTTAGGAGTGAATGTAATTTAAAGTCAGTTCATATTCAGAGGGCTCTAAAGTAAATTGCTTGAAATAATTAAATCCCAAAGTTTCTAGGTAGAAAAGTATCCCATCAGGAAGTCATCAATATGTCCATTTTCACATAAAACGTTCAGAGAAAATAAGCTCAAATGAAGGAATCAAAACATGACATGACAACATGACATGAGGATTGAGCATAGAATATATACATATATATATGTATTATTTTTTATTTTTATGCTTCTTATAATTCTTAGAAACATCTTTAATACTAGTGTTAAACACTTCACATGAATTGCAGAATGTTATAACTTCCATTACTGATACTACATTGTTCTCAATGCATCTTGCAAGTTCTTATGTTTTTATGATAATCATACTACAATATATTAATATATCAAATCAACATGTTGTATACCATAAATTTACACATAATAATTAAAGAAAAAAAGATGTTCTTTTTAAAAGGGCTATCTTAAAGATAAATTTTGATTCAAACTTTGGAGGAACTAAGGCAACATCAGTTAATAGTGAAAAACAATAACATGGAATTTCTCTTAGTAAAAATGTACTTTAAATAATTTTGCCTACTGTTGCATGTAATAATTAAAAAAAAACCCTTTACAGTTAAAAAATCATATATCTGAATATAGAATCTTTTGATTCTAAGACTTGACATTTTATGTTAAAAGTTAATTTGTGTCCCTCAAGAAAAGAATATTTTGGAGCCCTAATCCCCAGCACCTCAAAATTTGATCCTATTTAGGCATAATGTAAGTGCCTGACAATTGGCTTCTTTTTTTTTTAATATTTTACTTATTTATGAGAGAGAGAGCTCACAAATAGGGCCACTTCTACCCTGTGAGGTAGAAGCACACTTCCCTCTGAGCAGGGAGCCTGATGGGGGACTGGATTCCAGGATTCTAGCATCACAGGAACCAAAGGCAGACACTTAATTGACTGAACCCCAGGATTCCTGGCTTTTTTTATTATAATGTAAAGTACTAACATTAACCTTTGATGGCTGGATCATCCATTTCAAAGACTTCTCAACTGCAATGAACACAATGTCAGCTACGCAACTAGGTGAGGGGTCAGGCTGCCCTACCAATGAAGTCCCCCATTTGGAAAGCCCTGGAAGACTTCTAAATGACTTTTGACCATTTGTATGATTCTGTGTTTTTCTTCCTGTACTTTATGTTTTAAATACACCAGTAGTGAACCCCCAAATCCCGGGTAACCCACTCTTGAACCTATTAGAGACAGAACCTCAGATTGGTGAGCTCTTTCTGTCTCTCCCTGTCTCTCTGTACTTGTGATCAAACTGTGTGGCCCCAGGCATGTGATGTACACTCTGTGACTTGTGAATAATAAATCTTCTTTTTTCAAAGTCCCTTCATTCAACTGGGAAAAGGAGGAGAAACTGAAAAAGAACACAGGCCTCTATTTGGGGGTCTCAGAACTGCAATTTGGAGAACATGGATTTTGGTGTAACCAGGAAAAGTGTCCTGCTCATGCGGGGTGTAAGGACCTATTTTATATTTTTATATTTTAGCAAGAGGCTTTCATTGAGGTTAAACAAAAACCTTGTTGTTTAACCCTTAAACTGTCCCTGCTCCCCTTCCCCCAAGGGATTCACTTAAAAACAAGTCCCGGAAACCAGCTTCAAATAATAAAGCCCAGATACAAGGGTGGGTCAGGCTAGGTGGAGACATCAATCAGTAGGGGTTGCATACTGTCTCCCTAGATACCAAGGAGTATGGGCACCCCCCTCCGCCCTTTGGGAGCCTTTATGGCGCCAATCTTAATCAAGGTGTAATAGGCTGGGTCAAATGTCTACTAGGTTAAATTGTAACTCAATTGGTCACCTAGCATCATTGTGGAGTTTCCTGTGTGTGTTACAATCTCATTGGTCACCTGTGCGTGGCCAGGCCCGGCCTCATGGCCTTTGTCCTCAAAAGCTAGTCTATGAAACAGAGAAGGGTCACCCTCTCTTGTAAGAGGTGCGTCCCCAAACGTTCGGTTAGATTCTTGATGCTTGGCGTGAAATAAAGCTTTGTTTGACCTTCACTTTATATCAGTCTCTCTCCTTTAATCATGGACCCATTATTGGGGCATAACACAGGGAAAGCAAGGTTTTTTGTTTGTTTGTTTGTTTTAAGAGAAAGAAGAAAGGAGAAATCACATAATTTAGATAAAGGAGAGAGAGAGAAAAAAAAAAAAACCTTCATTTGGTACTGACAGATGCAACTGCTTTTTGATTACCTTTTCATTCTCTCTTTTTTCTTCTTTCTTTCTTTCCAAGAGAGAGGGCAGGGAGATGGGGCAGATCGGAGAAAGGAGGGAGAGAGTCCCAAGCAGGCTCCACACTCAACACAAAGCTGAAATAATAACCTAAGCTGAAATCAAGAGTCTGACACCTAACCCACTGAGCCACCCAGGCACCCCACTTTTAATTTCTATTGATTATTCTACTGATGCTGTCAAACAAAACTATTCCTGGTAGGCAGTAGTTAATGTTTCTGTTCTCATGAAGT